ATCACAAATGCAGACATGGTTTTATGTTTACATGGCGCGATGCAACGCACCGCATAAAAAGACAGTAGAAGTCATTATAATCCGTAATTATGTCGCCACTGGATGCAACAAATGCCTCGTTTATAATGGGTTTTAATGTTTTTGTCTCGTCGCTCCGGCCGGCATCATCACAGTATGGTGAGGGGCGTAACATTTCCGTCACACGCTTGAGGTATTCGGCCAATCATAATGCACTGGATAGCTGGCCAATCAGAGCACGCCTCGCTTTTCAGACCGATGAGCTTTGTAAAAATCGACGCGTTTCAGAAAGGCGGGGCATAGAGGAGAAACAATAATGTACAATATGTGGAAAATAATGTGTTTTTTTTAACCTTAAACCGCATAAACACATTTAATTACACCAAATACACAAAATAATGTTCTTTTTAGCAGCATCATATGACCCCTTTAAAACTGTGCTGTCCTCCTTCTATACCTGCTTTATTCCTCGCAGCTACCCGACTACTGAAAATCATTCGTCCACTACCACTGTTACCATGGCAACAAGAGGGGAAATCCATTTCATCAGCCTCTTCGTCACACTCCCTCCTTCCATCCTTTCTCTCTCTCTCTCTCTCTCTCTCTCTCTCATTCCCTTCCTGCCATCGTTTTCTTTATCTCTCTTTGCCATCTCTTGTTATTCTTCTTTCGTCCTGTCTTAGTCAGAGGATAGACAGGCAGCAGAAGATGCAGTGCCTTCCTCAATAAACAAGAGCACAGCTATATGGCATCAAACTGTTATAACTTGTGCTATAGATTCAAACTGTGCTTTGTTTTTGGTTGCATCATGCTGTGTCATCTGTTTTATTGACCGCAGTCTGATATCTTCGTGACACTTTTGTACTATGTACTAGTTATTAATCATTTGCCCTTTGCACATCAGAATGTTTCGCATTGTAACTCTTACGTCCTTTCTATTTAGTTAAGGTATAATTTCAGTTACAGTGATTAAGCTTTTTTTCTTCAAAACTACATTTTTCTGTCTTATAACTTTTACAGCTTGTGTTGAGATCAGGGTGATAGTGGCTTCACTGACATCCTCATGGTAATCCCATGGGGCAGTGGGATAGGCCAGCAGCTACTGGGGACACCAGATGGCCTCAAATTAGAATTGAAATCATGCACACTCACGCACATACACATATTCTCTCTCAGTCTCAACGCATCTTAAACTCTAAATAATAATTGGTTATTTCACTGAGCGCAGCCTTTCGTGGTGATGCTGATGGATGGGAGTATTAATGTAATTATGTTTTAGTGAGTAATCCGAAGGGTTAACTCCATGAGATGATTCCATTAATACACATAATGAATCTCTATAATCAGATCACTGATAAATTAATTCCATTATATTCTTCTAAAGCTGATCGGCCCAACAAATGCTCCTGCTCACAATGGCTGACCAAAAATCACTCCACTTTTAATTAACATTTTGTTTTTAAATTATTATGCCCATCCATCTACTGAAAACGGGCTCCCATAAAAATAAAAAAAAATACTGGTTTGATGCTATTCGAGCATGTTCACCAGTGGATAGTATGATTAATCAGCATTGACTTTGGCTGAACAAGGAAGTCAAGCATATCAAGCTAGTTAGGAATCCTGGTGACCAGCACAGCAGCATCCCAATGCTGAAGACCAGCATCCAAAACACAACATATGCTGGTGACCTGCAATACTTAGCTTGCAATTAGCCTATGGGGATCCCAAAGTGCCAAACCTAGGCTCAGTCATCTCAAGAGACACTGACAGAGTAATTGTTTTACTTTCCAAACACAATCTAGCGTGAGTTACACACACATCTGTAATCCTGTAACACATTACCACCTCAACCGCCACTGTAATCGTGTGTATGTGTGTGTTTATTGAAGGGTTGCCAGTTGCAATTGCTTTTTTAATCTTCTGTCACTCTAATGTCGTGAGACTGAAGATTAAGCTTTTGATTACAGGAGCTCGGGCTGTGTGTGTGAGTGCACAATGACTCTGAGAGGGAGGGTTTCTCTCTTTCTTTTTAGACACACATACACATGCTTTGGGGGAGGGGCAGCTGTGGATATCATCTGTGTTCCTTGTCAGCTCGGTGCAAGAACCTCTGTGCTGTGCTGCACATGCATGCACAGGAGCAAGAGAGCAGAAACAACACATTGCTGCACATCAGCATCAATGCACTTGAATCTGACTAAAAGCCATCAAAATGGTCTGACTGGGGAGGCAGCAGGTAAATAATCTTGTTTTTCTTTTTAAACAATGTCTTTGTGAGTGTTTGGGAGCAAGAGGAAGTCGTTTTTAGCTGGCTTCCTGAGTGATTCCACTAGTTGATGGGCGGAGCGAGAGGAAGGCTGTCAGCTGGGGTGGTGTGTGTGTGTATGTGTGGGTGCCAGAGTGTCAGAACAAGGAGTGTATGTGTGCTACTGTTACATACAGCTCTTGTGTCATTGAAGATTAGGCTGTACACACATTGAGAAGGTGAGTGGAAAATCTTTTCATGAGCTCATTTCCATCAGAAAGATCAGAATGAGGTTGGTGTGTGCAGATAGAAAAGCATGAAGATGTGTCAGTGGGGCAAGCTGTCTAAATGAAATCATGTTTTATTTGGAAAAAAATTACTGTTTTATTATATATGTGTGTGTTTACTTGTGTTTTCAGTGTATAACTGCACAAGATTATTGTCAGTTTTTTCCTACTGTATGGATGAGTGTGTTTGTTCTATCTGACTAGTCTTGCATGGACGCAAGGGTTGTCCACAGCCGTTGCATGTGTACCAAGTCTAAATCAGTCTTAAATAGCTCTGAAGACGGATATGTTTGCTTGTTATTTACCAGATGATGTGTTTGTTAGCACGTAGCGTGGATTTGTGATTTACGTGGTGCAATGTAGTGCAGAAATGCCTTTAATGGTCAGGTGTGCGTATGAGGATCAGCGAGCATCTGTTTGGGGTAAATGCTGCCGGAGATGGGGGGATGAAAGTGGAGGAGAGCATGGGGGAGGGGAGGGAGAAGATGCTGGAGAGAGAAGAGAGTGATGGAGAAATGGCAGAAGAAGAGAGGGGGTTGAATATTTAAGAGGAATCCCCCAGGAGTCCCCAGAGTATTGTGATGATGACTCTAGAACAGTGCTGTTCTTGCAGGAGGTTCCGCTCAACAGTATGGCAGGCTTAGCTCTGGTTAGCTCTCAACATATATCTTGATTGAGTACATTAAACAGTGTTCACTGTATGGAATGAGTCTTGTTAGTGCATATAATCAAAGGAATTAGCCTTTCTAGTCTGAATGCATTAGTAGTATTTTGTTAGCACAGGATAGATGAGATACATACTGAACTTATGTGTCATACTTGATGCTTCTTGGTTTGGTGGGTCTTTATTTAATTAGTTTTTTTTCTTTATTAAGTCAGTTTACATGTCACAAACACATCTTATGAAATGTTGACCCTTTATCATGACGATAGCCAGTAGTTTAGTTAAGTTAAGTTAAGTTAAGTTAAGATAGTAGTCAGGCCATTAGATTTGTATTTGCCCTGCCCAAACTTTATTGGCCACACCAGTATATATGTTGTAAATTTTGTAATGTAACTCCAAGAAAACTTGGCATTTATGCACAAATGTTCAGTTGAAAACAATTGTTAATGGTGCAAAATATGATCATTTTAAGACTGGTAAATGTCATACTGTACATACTCAATAACTGAACAATATTAGTCATCTTGACAAATATATAAAGCTATATTAGTTACATTCAAATAATCAGAATTCACAGCAAACAAAGTTCATACATCACACAAAACCAATATTTTAATTAAAAATATATTTATTTATCCATGTATTAATTAGTTTACGTGTGTGTGTGTGTGTGTATGGGAACACTAAGTGTTTTCCCTCAATAAACTCCTAATTACTGCTTATTGATAGTAAATAGTTGTTGTAGTAGATTACTTTAGGTATGGGGTAGGATTAAGGGATCTAAAATATGGCTGTGCAGAGTAAGCCATTAATATTTGCTTTACAAGTACTAATTAACTAACAATATTCTAGTTACACATTTAAAATATGTATTATATATTCCATATGGTTCATTCTGTGTCAGCTTAACCAGAGGTCCCCGGATACATTTTTTGATTTTGTTAATATTTTTTCTGAAGAAAGATAAACATGTATAGTGATGAAAGTCAAAATTTCAGATGTCATGGATCAATATTTACTGAGTAATCCACTATTTTGTAGAGGTGGGTCAAACTGGCAATTTTCACCTGAGATTCAGAGCCAAATTACAGGGGGTTAAAATTTCTTCAGAAAGATGGCAGCATCATAATTTTACTTTTACACAGAGATGGGTAGGTCTGTTAGTAAAATCTAGTGACTTTAGCAATCTTTGTTGCATTATATGTCAACGGTGACCATACAAAAATGGGGAAAGAGCACTTTTCAAGTTTTTCTCCAAAGTTTGCATGCCTCTAACTCAAGAAGTATTAAAAATATCTTAATGCCCTTTAGATATTGGGTCTTAACAAACTTTCCTTTTGGCATCTTCATTTCTAAGGCCCTATATGGTTCGGTTCCAGAGATATTGGAATTTCAATGTGGCTCCATGAGTAAATTGTTCAATTGTACACATTTTCAGTGGTCAAAAACCAAATGTGGGTCAATTTCCATAAATATGATACTTCTTTTCATTTAAAGAGGAATGTCTGAATGTCTGAAGAACAAATAATGTTGAAACTAGAAATGTATCTCGTTTCTTTCTGTCAAAACAACTGCATTGAACATACCAGTCTGAGTGCCATAAATATTATTTTTCCAAAGTTTGCTTGCCTATAACTCAAGAAGTATTAAACATATTGCAATATGATTTTAGATTTTAGTTCTTAATAAACATTTCTTTTTGAATCCTCATTTTCAAGTCCCTATTTAATTCAGTCCCAGGGATATGGGGATCTCAATGACGCGTCATGTCCAGATTGTTGAATATTACCCATTTTCAGTGGTCAAAAACCAAATGTTGATCTCTGACCCTGAGCCATCCTTATTGTTGAGCCCTGTGTTTATGATACACTCTTCTAAAGTATGTGTCTGTTTAATTTTGTAAAGAATAAGAGCATTACTATGGATAAGTGTTTTTGTACAAAGAGAAAGAATAGGGAGTGGAGAGGTCCTTGAATAGATGTGAATAATATAAGAGCAACCCCAGCACACATCTTACAGTTCACTGTTCGGAGTGGGTGGATCTGGTGCTGTCTGGAGTGTGTGTATTGGTGCGGGTGTGTGTATAAGTATGAACAGCTGTGAGAGACAAAGGTCTTTGTTAAAAGCCAAACAAAATTTCTTCCATCTATAATTTTTTCACTCTTTCCTGAGAAGCATAGCCAAACTCTTTCATCCTTTTACTCCATTCTAAGAGAGACAGTGAGTGAATATGTGGAGAGAGTATTCTCATGAAGGAGAAAATGACTTCATGCTCTGTTTGTAGACTCAACCGCTCTGGCTAATACTAACACCAGGCATCTTTTCTCCACCTAATTTCAGACTAGAGCTGAAAGTTGTTTGATGTCATGTTTTTATATGAGTGTGTGCCTGTGTGTGCTACTTTGGGGACAAAAACCAGACAAAATCTCATTATGTGGACCTCCTTACAAGTAAATATTATTAAAATTATTTAATTTCTGATATACTGTATATTAAATATAAAAATATAATACAAATATAAACTAACTTGTTTACTTTATATAAAAAACTATAAAGTTTTGTTTGTAATATGAAATTGTGTGTACTGCATTACATTACATCTTCAGTGAAACTGAAACTCTGAATTGTGTGATTAAAGTGACATGGCGATGGAAAAGCCTTGTATTTATTGATAAGGGGACACCAAGAACTCTGTGTGAGAGTACATTTTAGTATATACACATGACTTTGTTGAAAGTAGAGAATACAGCCCCGGATGTTTGGAATATTGTTAACTCTCCGGGAACCTTGGGTGTTGTGATGAAAGTCAAAATTTCAGATGTCATGGATCAATATTTACTGAGTAATCCACTATTTTGTAGAGGTGGGTCAAACTGGCAATTTTCACCTGAGATTCAGAGCCAAATTACAGGGGGTTAAAATTTCTTCAGAAAGATGGCAGCATCATAATTTTACTTTTACACAGAGATGGGTAGGTCTGTTAGTAAAATCTAGTGACTTTAGCAATCTTTGTTGCATTATATGTCAACGGTGACCATACAAAAATGGGGAAAGAGCACTTTTCAAGTTTTTCTCCAAAGTTTGCATGCCTCTAACTCAAGAAGTATTAAAAATATCTTAATGCCCTTTAGATATTGGGTCTTAACAAACTTTCCTTTTGGCATCTTCATTTCTAAGGCCCTATATGGTTCGGTTCCAGAGATATTGGAATTTCAATGTGGCTCCATGAGTAAATTGTTCAATTGTACACATTTTCAGTGGTCAAAAACCAAATGTGGGTCAATTTCCATAAATATGATACTTCTTTTCATTTAAAGAGGAATGTCTGAATGTCTGAAGAACAAATAATGTTGAAACTAGAAATGTATCTCGTTTCTTTCTGTCAAAACAACTGCATTGAACATACCAGTCTGAGTGCCATAAATATTATTTTTCCAAAGTTTGCTTGCCTATAACTCAAGAAGTATTAAACATATTGCAATATGATTTTAGATTTTAGTTCTTAATAAACATTTCTTTTTGAATCCTCATTTTCAAGTCCCTATTTAATTCAGTCCCAGGGATATGGGGATCTCAATGACGCGTCATGTCCAGATTGTTGAATATTACCCATTTTCAGTGGTCAAAAACCAAATGTTGATCTCTGACCCTGAGCCATCCTTATTGTTGAGCCCTGTGTTTATGATACACTCTTCTAAAGTATGTGTCTGTTTAATTTTGTAAAGAATAAGAGCATTACTATGGATAAGTGTTTTTGTACAAAGAGAAAGAATAGGGAGTGGAGAGGTCCTTGAATAGATGTGAATAATATAAGAGCAACCCCAGCACACATCTTACAGTTCACTGTTCGGAGTGGGTGGATCTGGTGCTGTCTGGAGTGTGTGTATTGGTGCGGGTGTGTGTATAAGTATGAACAGCTGTGAGAGACAAAGGTCTTTGTTAAAAGCCAAACAAAATTTCTTCCATTTATAATTTTTTCACTCTTTCCTGAGAAGCATAGCCAAACTCTTTCATCCTTTTACTCCATTCTAAGAGAGACAGTGAGTGAATATGTGGAGAGAGTATTCTCATGAAGGAGAAAATGACTTCATGCTCTGTTTGTAGACTCAACCGCTCTGGCTAATACTAACACCAGGCATCTTTTCTCCACCTAATTTCAGACTAGAGCTGAAAGTTGTTTGATGTCATGTTTTTATATGAGTGTGTGCCTGTGTGTGCTACTTTGGGGACAAAAACCAGACAAAATCTCATTATGTGGACCTCCTTACAAGTAAATATTATTAAAATTATTTAATTTCTGATATACTGTATATTAAATATAAAAATATAATACAAATATAAACTAACTTGTTTACTTTATATAAAAAACTATAAAGTTTTGTTTGTAATATGAAATTGTGTGTACTGCATTACATTACATCTTCAGTGAAACTGAAACTCTGAATTGTGTGATTAAAGTGACATGGCGATGGAAAAGCCTTGTATTTATTGATAAGGGGACACCAAGAACTCTGTGTGAGAGTACATTTTAGTATATACACATGACTTTGTTGAAAGTAGAGAATACAGCCCCGGATGTTTGGAATATTGTTAACTCTCCGGGAACCTTGGGTGTTGCTCTTGGCTAAGTGGCAGATTCTGCAGGAAGTAATTTTAACCCACTGTACCCACAAGCTTCTGTTTCATTAAAAAACACATGTCTTGATAATCCCAAATGATCTCATCAATTTTCATTTAGATTAAGAATGTTTTATTACCTTTTTGAATATTGTATGAGGGTTAGCCTATCGCTAAATTAATGAAGAATTGCCTGTATAGCATTCCTAACTCATAACACGTGAGGGGAGGCTAGTCTTATGTTTATAAGACTGAATCTTACATGAGAACAGACTGTTTTTTACAGTCTGATAAGGCAGCCGAACACCACAGGAAACAAACCATGGAACAATACTTTTTTTTAAACTGATATTTCAGAGTCAGAGACATTTCATATTTAAACGTGAAGGGTGGTAGCTTGTGTCAAATTTACGTGGGAGGTTTTTGAGACTGTCTGCAGGATGTGCTGATTGAATCTCCAGTGTGTGGCAGTCGGCATCAGAGAAACGGTGTGACAGGCATGGTTTGAGTCTTGAGATCTGGTGTCAGGGTCAGTGACTACTAGGGGACCCCTAGAGTGAAACCAGAAAAGCATTATAAATCTGTCTCTCTCTTCACTCACACACAGACACACACTCTCTGTACCATATGGGGCTCAGTGGATAAATTATTAAACTGACTAGTGTCTGCTGAGGCCTGGGGAGAATGTTGCAACATAGGCTCATTGGAAAAATGTGCCTCTATCTTCATTGTTTTAAAACTCCAAAAACGTACCTATACAGACAATTCACTGCTGTTTTCAGCTGAAATGAAAACTAGTAGCAGTAAAATGCCATGAATTTTTATAACTTTTTATATAAATTAATAAAGACTTATTTTACTAAAATGTGATCTTAAAACTTTGTTAGTCCATGATTTGTAAACTCCATACATATGGCTTATGTGACTTAGTAAACTTGATCAGTTGCTCAGCTGGAACAGTGTTGCCCTTATGATACGGAGTATGATTCCAGTGAAACACGAGTCACAATAAAAGAACTTAAAATTTTTTGTAGAAACTTCTTACACACACACACACACACACACACACACACATACATATGCTTTTGAAGAGAAGCACGTATGTGTGTTTTATCTCAATTTGGTGCAATGTCAACATGACAAAAATTGACCCTGTTTACGTTCTTAATGCACATTCTCGGCTTTATTGTGCTTTATGCATGTTTTTCCTGTAGAAAGTTTGTTTTTATAATCTTTCATCAAAATCACTTGTTATTTAGGCCATGCAGACTATTGGATGATTTTAAACAATAGATAAATAGCTCAGCATTTTTAAAAACATGCATTTATTGAAGTATGCCCACTTTTCACAATTCACCAATTCACAATGAATAAAATCAAGGACTGTTCTACATTCCTTCTTGTTGAATATCCTGTTTCTCATGGAAATGTGCCACATTACAGAAGTAAAATAGGTTATGAACACAATTACCATTGAATGTAACATTGGTGGTGGGGTTGGCCATGCAACAGTTGCACACATTTGAAAACTTCTTAAACCAACCTAAGATTGTTTTCAGATGGTCTTATATGGTTTAATGAGGTTTTATTGGTTTAAGATGGTCTCTCTACCTGACCAAGCTGGTTTTCAGCTCAAAACTCCTCTGAAACCAGCCAACAGACCAACTAAGACCAGCAAGCCAGCTTAAGATGATTTCAAGTTGGCATGAAATGGAAATTCACCATACGTTTTTTCTTAATGTGATTGATTGATCTCATCGTGACCTTGACCTGGTCCGTGACCTTTTTTTAAGAAAATATTATAACAGGTGAAACCTGATTTCTCTGATAACATATGCCAGACTTCTCCAATTATTTAGTCCGCTTAAACTCTGCCCTTTCTTACAATTGACTGCAAGCTCGCATTCAGATTTTCCTCCATCCAATCAACAACCAATGGATCGAACCAAGTCCTTACCATACATTTTTTTCCTTTTGATAATCTGTTTCATTCATACACATCACAATACTGAAGAATAATTTGTCCATTACATCATGACTTAAAGTGTTTTTTTAGCTGTGTTATAGAAAAAAATTATGCATGAGTTGAATAAGTTTAAGAAAAACATTAGAGACATTAGAGACATTAAGATTATTAGTTTTTTCTTTGTTGTCGTAATATATGTTGTCAAGAGACAGCCAAACCATTTAATAAAAAATTTAAATATGCCTTTACACAAGCAATGTGCTGGTGGCTTTGTCCTGTGAATAGGTGGATAAGTGACTGGTGTTTTATATTAAAATGTGAGACAGTCCTCTAGTTCCTCATTCCTGCGAGTGTTCCTGCGAGCAAAAACAAAGTATTACAGCAATAGGGTGACTCAGTTCCTAGTAGTTCCTACCAACTTTCAGTAGTTCCTACCAACACCATATGGAACAAAGTTCTTTTTAACACTGCTGTATCTTTAAAAAAAAATCATAGCGATCAACTGAATGTGTTATCATCGCACTTAAGTCAGTTGTTCAGTTGTTTTTCTTCTGATAGTGCAGGCTTGGCATTTGTATAGGTGCATAAGATAAACTTCAGTCAGGTCTGGAATGTTTCTCAGTGCAAACAGACTGGGAAAGGTGTGACATACTAAACCCCTCGACCAGCACATGCACACACACACACACACACACACACACACTTGCACATGCACACAAACTTGCACAAGGCCTTGAGCTGCAGCCGGAATATAGAACATATGGACTCTAACTGCATGGCTTCCTTTCTCAACAGAGGCTGAAGACACACCACAGGAGGTCAGCTCACATTTGAAGACCAACGAAATAGGCAGAAGGTGAAAAGAGTCGAAAATAAGGTGAGAACCAGAAAGAAAATATGTAAAGAGAAAAAAAGGAGAAACAAACACTACTAACACCCACTGTATGCAGTGCTAAAAAATATGTCATAGTTTACTAGTGTAACAGAGTGTTACTTGCTATCAGACAGCTGCGCTAATAAGTTTGTGGGTGGGAGTGTGTGAACCATTAGTGGGTTTATCAATAATAATGCCATCTTTCAAATTTCACATCACAGTGTTTTTTTTGCGGTAAGGCAGAGGGCATCCATTTTCACATGTCACAGTTCTTCTTTAGAATGTTCCATTTAGAGGAAGATTTTCTGCCCAGGGAGACTCAATATTACACCTCGATCATTCTTGTTGTGTTGCATTATAACAGACTCTTCAAACGCCCCCTGCAGTGGCACTTCCATTTCCCTGCTGGCTTTCCTGCCCCTGTAGAAATGTGGCAGAGTTGGGTAAATGGCACACATATGGCCCTCTCTCTGGGGATACAGATTAAATGAGCTCCTCCTGTACTTCTTCAAATATATACATGCTGTTTTATAGACCTCTGACAGATCAGTTTTGTGATGGACAAATCAATAGAGATATTTTTTTGAAGTCAAAGAAAGTACTTGAAGTTACAAACAGTGAAGACTGGCTGATGCATAGCTGTGATCGGCTCACTAAATTTTCAATGTCAAGGACCCCCAAATATGATGATCCCCTTGCAATGGACTCTCTTCCTAAAATATAAAGGCCGCCATTTATTTTTAACGTGTGAACAACTTCTGTTGTGCGCTCCTTATTTGGGAGTCACATTCACAGTCTTCGCGGTCAAAAGTGACTGGACACCTGAAATGTAACTTTTTTTTTCTTCAGTAAAATCAATCTAATATATTTTTGTTCAATAATATGTTTTCCTTTTTCTTGTGTATTTTCAGAGAATTGTATGATACTAATTAATATTTATGCAATAATTATGATAACATTTCCCCATTGAAAATAGTAAAAAAAATTGTACAATTATTTTTCAATTAATGCAGTATTTCAGATTAAAATAGAGACTAGTCTTTTAAAATCTAATTTTTGAAGGCAGAATAGCACCTCCTGGTGAGAGCAAAAAACAAAAGAAAAACCTGTAATTTTGTGGTGTAACCACTAGATTCCTGTAAAAAACTCTATAGAGAGGCTTGTGAATTCCCTAGTTGTTTTTATACATAATTGTTTACTTTTATTAGGTTGTGGATTTAAATGTATATTAAGGCATTCTCAAAGACTACTTTTTGTCAAGGTTTATATTTTTTTGTTGTTTTAAATGTTGATTTGAAGTGTAGGTTTTTGCATTATCATTACTACATTCAAACCTGAAAACAGTAAGCATTTTGTTACACAAAACATAAAAATTCTATAAAAATGTAACAAAGATTTACATGAATGCTTTATCAGAGCTTAATCCTTCTGGATCTGATCTGATTTTAACCTCTTATTTAAGTCTTCTGACTCATTTTAGCTATATGGTTATAGCCATACCAATTAATTTGAGTATGTATAATTCTGTATGTGTGTGTCTGTGAGTGTAAGTAAGTGTGTGTGACTGGATGTATCTGTTTTACACTCTTGATGTTTTAGAGTGTAACCCCTTCCTTGCTGTCCACTTTTTTTTTACTGCATTGTAGTTGAATTATTGATTTTATTTTACATAGTTGCAGTGTTACAGTCACCAGTTCATAGGTGTGTGTGTGTGTGTGTGTGTCAGCGCGTGTGTGAGTTGGTGTATTGAATTTGCACTCTAAATGTTTTAGAGTTTCACCCCTCCATTGCTGTGCAATTATCTTCTGCATTGTGGGGGATTTGTAGATTGTACACACAAAACATTTCTGTATTTTTTCCCCCCATTTCCCATTTATTTCCAATAGTCGATATTTGACCGAAGACCATGAGTGTGACTATTTTTTTACGACCACTTAGCTTTTTCGAATCATGCCCTCAATTGTTTTTTGTGTTCACATACCAAGTGCCATAAAAGTCACAAAGCGTCATACCATTCTGGTGAAGCTACGATTTAAAAAATTCTAAATGTAAAATTCTCCAGTCAGAGTTGACCGAAGAGCGCTCAAGGGTTAAACATGGTTTTATAAAGAAGAGCTGACATGTACTGATATAAATGCCATTTATATTATACTTTTATATTTTTATATTGTACTTAATTAACCATTGTACTAATGCAAATTATAATAATATAATCAAGAAAATATTTACCTTGTATTAAATTGACAACAAATCTTGTTTTTTTGCACTAAATAGAGTAATATTAGATAATACTGAAAAATATATATATTTTCAATCTAATTCATTTTTATTGAGAGAATAGAACATTTTATGGAGATTTTTTTTCACAAAATGACATGCAGATATATTTATTTACTGTTAAAAACTAGAGCTGTTAGTAGAATAAAATTATTGCAATTAATTACATTATTTCTGACATGATTTCTGATTTAGACATTCATTAATATTAAAAGACATTCAATAATTTTTAAAGAAATCTCAAAATAATTTGAAAACTCATATAGTTATCTTTGCTGCAGGAGCACTTAAGCAATTTTTTAAAATATAATCTGTAAAATATTTCATTTGTATTAAGTTTACAGCACATCTAGTTTTTTTCCACCCACTATTAGAGTTATATTAGTTGTATATGAAGAAACTGAAGAAACGTTTTTATTTTTTATAGAGAATAGAGAATGTATTATTCTTATTTTTTTCACAAAAGGAAATGCAGATATATTTATTTCCTGCTATAAACTGTGGCTGTTCATAGAAAAAAAAATTAAAAATTAACTTTGTCAAATAAAAAAAAATATATATATATATATATTTTTTCATTGACCCCCAGCCTCCAGTTTGAAAGCCCCTGGGTTAGACCACTTTGAGAGTGTTGCAGTAAAGGGTTAACTGGCGGTAGATGTCTCTAGCTCATCATGTTCTACACTGACTGTATATCAGCAGGCTCCACACTCTTAAACTTACTGGCACTATTCTCTTTCCTATCACTGACATTCTCCTTTGGTCTCCTGTGTCTTAATCCCCCCTCTCGCTGACCCCCTATAAGGTAAAGTTCTGAGCTCCCGGAAGACGAATAGAGACTGCAATCTAAAATGGCTTTTAAACATAGACTCCATGCTGGATTTGTGTTGATGTTCCTTGTCTGGCTGTAAATGTCTCTTTAGGCCTAATTTACAGAGGTAGGCAGTGTGCTGAAGAGTTCAGTGTCTCTGAACTCTTCAGATGTATGGGGTCCCCGGTCTAAAGTTGCCTTTGGTGAGCTCCATCCTTGATTTTAGGAGTGGAACATTTCATTGCTGTCAGATCGCTCTGTATCTCAGTTGCCTAGCAACTGAGGTCCATAGCAAAGATGCCTGGGATGGTCACTAGGTTTAATGAAACCCGTTTTGCGACCAGGAGCTGAGGATGAAGAGCTGCTCTTTTCAGAAAAATGTTTTTACTGGAGTCTGGATTCTCATTAGAACAGATTTTGTGTAATAAATTTAGTTAAATGTCTTTAACTAAACATAATTGTGTTTATTCCTTTGTTTATCCGATGATGTTATTTTTGGTGGCATACAACGTGATGCATTAACTGTTGAATCATAATGTAATCATATCAGGAAATAGAATTGTAGATGATGTGATCAAAGTGAGGACATGTTCCACAAACATTTGGATGTCAAGATACTGACTACATTTGCAAGCTTTATTAGTTTAAAAGTGGAGAGTCAATAGGCCGTGATGAACTTGTTTCCATCAGGGCAAGTTGGAGTTTCCTCTCATTTTCAATTTCATTAATGGCTAAACCTTGAATATTGAATTAGATTCACATTATAAACACTCAAGGGAAGGTGTGTCTTGTGCAGTAGTAATAGAGGAGTAAATATGTCGGGTAAATTATGCTGGACGTTGTTAAATTATAGTACGTTTCTGCTGTCTTTCATTGAACCTGGTTGGGCTCCATATTCTAGAGTAGTTTAATGAGGTTAGTATGACAGCTGAGAGTCTAGCGACCCTTGCTGTTTGCTCTCAGCAGCAGGGCTTTGTATTTAACCTCACTGTAGGAGAGCCGGCTGAGATGAAAAACTCCGATACACCACAGACCTTTGAGCTCACAGTCATGACAGGTGTGTCACAGTGTGCTATCAATACCCATATGGCAGAGCCACACGAATATGAAAGAAGCACGCAAACGCATTTGATTTTTCTGTCGTGGTGGGGACTATCCATTGATGGGTTTTATATTAAACTAATAATCATTTTCTACCCCCTACTCATATATAGTCATAGGTTACATTCAAATGAAATTACATATCGATGACTGAACAACTGTGAGGGAAGCAAAAAAACAAAAAACAAACAACAGATGTATGTTTTTTTGGTGCTATTAACTGTGTTGTGGCCTTCTGTGAGAGACTTTAAATTACCATGGAGTTTTCAGAGTCTAAATAGCTCAAAGCAGACAATGTGGTAGGAAGTGAGGTACTGTATCAGTGCTTTTGATGCTGTTCTCCAGCATGGGATGATAATATAATGGTGTCCCCACCCTTCTTTTGTCAGCCAGATTCAGACCAACCATGACTAACCAGCCTGAACATTGATTTGTCACTGTACTGCCATATTACTCTAGAGCAAGGATTTCTTAAATTTTTTTGATGGTATTGACCAGCAAATATGATGATTCCCTTCTGAAGGAATCATTGTTTGAGAATATATTACTGTGAAAAAACGAATCTATATGTATGAATATTAAAAATGAACCACCATTCAAAAGTCTGAGGTCAGTTTTTTTTTAAAAATCAGTTTATTAAATAAAAAATGCAGTAACAGTAATTTAAAAGTAACTGTAATATTGTGAAATATTATTTCAATTTAAAATAACCTTTCTATTTGTGTATATTTTAAAATGTACTTATATTTATGGAATCATTCTAATCTTCTAAAAAGTTTAAAAGTCACAGTTATTTGAAATCAAAATTTTTGCAACATTTTAAATGTTTTTACTGTCCCGTTTGATCAGTTAAAAAAAAGAAAAGAAACTCTGTCTCACCCCAATCTTTCGTGTAAGTGTATAGTTTGTGATGAATCTCATGATTTTGAAAGTAGAATGAAAAATTACGCATTTTAACCTGTTTCACTGAATTTTATTTAGTTAGTTATTTTATAATTGTACATAACACCTCCAAATGTTGTCCTGAACCCCAGTTTGAAAACCACTGCATTAGAGAACATATAAACTGTTTTGCTCAAATCAAATTAGTGAAAGTTAATGCACACTGGCACATAACTGAACACATAACTCCTCAGTATCAATTTTCCTGCTAGATTTTAAACATTTATCCATATATATCATGCCAATTATGCTGAACTTGTTCTTCCATGTGTGTTACAGTGTAACAGGCCTGAACCGGCAGCCTCATGGCCACCAACAACACTGCTAGCATTGCTCAGGCCCGCAAACTGGTGGAGCAGCTCAAGATGGAGGCCAATATCGACAGGATAAAGGTAAGACGAATATGAACATATTATTTCATTCAAATGAATCCAATTCACTTGGTTAAATACTGTGAGCATTGTTTGGTGACTGTTTGTGTTTTCATGAATCAACATCAGGTCTCAAAAGCAGCAGCAGATCTGACATCGTACTGCGAAGCCCACGCTAAAGAGGATCCCCTGCTCTCCCCCGTGCCTGCGTCCGAGAACCCCTTTAGGGAGAAGAAGTTCTTCTGTGCCATCCTGTAAGCAGCGCTGCCCAGCCATGGACTCACCTGCTCCCTCTGGGATACACTCATGGACATAAAACTTGTTGATCTTTTACAAGGGCTGGAGAGATGCAGTGGAGAACCCTCAAATTCTCCTGGCTCTCTATGAGCCCCAATTAAAGCAACTGAACTAGTGGCCTCGAGATCCAAAGCTGAGTATAGTTACAAGAATCTGTTGAAATTCAGAAGGGAGTGCAGCAAAAAAACAGGAGTGACTGTCATTGTAGCAGATCAGCCAGGATGTGTTGTGAAAATATTCAAGTATTCAAAGGTTTCCGTGGTTCTGATGAGATATTCAAATATTTGTCTTTATTGATTTTTAGTGGACTGTGATCATTATTCTGATCACTGATCTTAGAGCCCATTGATTATTAAATTGCTTTCTTATTTGTTTGATTCAGAGTTTCGAAAAGCTTCATTTTCCCCATTACTAACTTCAGAAGACATATTGCACATGTGTCGTATGGACCACTTGTATGAGTGGACTTTTATGAGTGTTTTGACTGGATTCATCCATCTCATGTGAGAAAACAACATTTTAAATATTTTTGAAAAAATACTCCTAATTCTCCGTTTTAAACTTCTAAGTGGGGGGAAATCATTGAGTACATATTGAAAGGAAGCTTTAGGAATGTCTCATGTTTAGTTTATCAGAATCCCTGACTCCACTCATCCATCTCCAGGATTCATATACATCCATTTCTCTCACACAGTCAGTTGACTAATATGAAAGGCTATAGGAGTGCCATTTGAAAATAAAATGAAGCAATAAATTATTAATTTTTTAGTAAGTAAAAAATTTTTTTTAAATAAATAATTGGCTTTTCAAATAACAAATAAATAGATGTATTTAGATATTTGTATTTAATTGTTTTTTAAATAAAAAAAATTAAAGGCTTTGTTAAATATAGCAATACAATTATGTATTAATTTAGCAAATTTTCAATAAATAAATAAATATAAAACATTGGCCAAATTGCTCTTCTTTATCCTTTTGCCAGTCAATTTTCTTTCTCCATTTGTCAAAAGATACCATATTAGAACACCATATTTAACAGGACTGAAAATGAGGCTGTGAGGGACAAGTACGGTGCATTCAATGGATTTTCTATTCTGATTAAGGTCTATAAGGTAATAAACCTTTAATTGTATGAATTTAATTTTTAAATGTATTAATAAAACTTATCTAAGAGTCAAACTGACATTTGAATAAAAAGCAAAAATAATGGAAAATGTAAGGAATTAATCTAGTAAATCATTCATGTCTTTACATAGTATGTACTGTGAGCGTAATATGAATCACATGGCCCTCTGGTGCCTGCAGCTGTCTATTTTAATGATCTAAGCCTTATGTGATTTGAGTCTAGTCTTTCACGTGAGTGACTTTACCAAAAATATTATGAATATGCTGTGTGTTGCTTATGTTTGATGTGTTGATAGTCAAGTCAAGTCACCTTCATTTATATAGCGCTTTACAGATTGTGTCAAAGCAGCTTTACAGTGTTAAACAGAAAAAAACGTGTGCTGATAATGCAAAAGGACAATAGAAAACAGTCAGTTCCCTTTCATGGGAACTTCGAACTGCGTCCTCTAGGGGTCGCTATGGGGAACGCCTCGTCGTGACCCGTGTCTGAAGCATACATTGAAAAAACGCTTTAATTTCCTGCATTATAGTCTCCTATACTGGACCTATTAGGTTTGGTTGGTTCTATGGCTTCATAGTGACCATCTTACTGATGGTCCGGTCTAGAGGCTTCTCCGGACAGAGCTCTGACGCAGGAGCCATGGTGGGTGAGTACGATCCATGTCTAAATATATGTATATATAAATATATGTATTTTGCTAATGAACTGGTGGTTGTGTGTATACCCTTCTGCTAGTTTCTTTGCAGTGTTTCCCGGGACCTGTGTGTTTCTGTCTCTTTTCTAGGGTAGGTCCTCGGTGGGCACCCCCGCTGCTGGGTTCAGAAACCGGGTGCTCGTCTTGTAGTGTTTATTTCACTCATCGAGATATGTCCAGAAGGTAAGTAAGCCGGGTTTCGGCTTCATAGATTTTACAATCATGCTGCAGGTCGAGCCCCCTCTCATTGAGAGCTGGGTTTGTGCTCCCTCAGCCAAGGTAAATTACTGCTAGCGTTCCAGCATTGGAACATGCTGTAGGTCGAGCCCCCTTCTCAACTGAGAATTAGGTGTGTGCTCCCACAGCTAAGTAAATTATTGCTAGCTGTTCCAACTTCGGAGCATACTGCAGGTCGAGCCCCCGTCTCGGATTGAGAACTGAGTGTGTTGCTCCCTCAGCTGAATAACTGCTAGCTGTTCCACCATGGGAACATGCTGTAGGTTGAGCTCCCTCTCCATTGAGAGCTGGATGTTGCTCCCTCAGCTACAGGTTTACTGCTAGCCACTTCAGCATTATAGCCGTAGATATAGCGTCTGGGGATACGCTATTTTTATCTATGGGCTGCTCTTTCAGGGTGCCACGAGAACCCCTAACGAGTTGGTGTTTTTTCAATGTATGCTTCAGACACGGGTCACGATGAGGCGTTCCCCATAGCGACCCCTAGAGGACGCAGTGTCTCGTTCCCTACTCATGGAACCATGGTTACATAAGTAACCTGAGACGTTTTTCAGTTATTGTCGGTTCATCGTTGATTCTGTGATGTCATCATACAGCTCAGTTCAGTTCTCTTCAAATAGTGCTTGTGTAATCAAGTCAACAATATTGCCAGAAATTGTGTCCCCAACTAAGCAAGCCGAAGGTGACAAGGAACCAAAACTCCATCGGTGACAGAAATGGAGAAAAAACCTGGCTCAGTCAGGGGGCCAGTTCTCCTCTGGCCAGATGATACCAACACGGTGTGGTTTAATTCCAGGCTGCAACGCAACTCAGATTCAACAGAGGGCTTGTCTGGTTCTCGTGGTCCTGTGCCGATGGCCATCGAGGTGATGAGGTCTTTGCTTGGGATCTGTCTCTGGAGCTCATCTACTAGATATGGTCTCTGCTGACATTCAGGGCTGTAGAGGTCATCTCTAGGTGCTGATCCACCATCTGGCACGGATCCAGGTGACTGCAGTGACCAACTGATCTGATATTGACATACTTTTACAATTTACCCCAACATTTCCTCTTTTTAGGCTTTATCTCTGCTTAATAAGGTCTAGCTTAATCTTTATATATTAATATGCTCTGTTACCCAATGTACTGTAACCGTACACTTCTTTAAAGATTATTAAATTGCTGTGGTATTATCAGTACTGAAGCAGTCAGCAGAGTAGGAGATCTGAATGCGCATCATAAGTCCAAAGAGGCGTGCGTGTGTGATGAGAAACACTTCTTGATGTTTCACTATCAGCAGTCCTGACAGTGGCCATCTGTGCCTCTTATCCACTACACAGCTCTCCTGGGACAATGAGCAGAGAAACAAATTTTTTAATTTAAAGTGTGCGTGCATGAGTTTGCACTGTGCTTGTCATATTAATGCGTGTCGCAGCATTTCGCTCTCTTCAGGTGGTTTATCTGACCAAATGATCAACTGCCCCTTCGCTCATCTTTTCCTTTCTGTTAGTAAGATAACACTTGAGAGGGGTGACATCATGGACACATGACTAGAATAATGTCTCCATGTGTGTTCAGGGTTTAACTAGTCTTAAAAGAAAAGTTTTGACTCTCAAAAAAATTTACTTTAAATCTTTACCTTCACTTCAGGCAAAAAAAAAGGTCAAAGCAGTTATTGAGTTTGAGCCTCTCTGTGATGGTACCACGAGGCGTTGCTCGCTAGCGGATCTCAGACTTCTGGAGGGGATGTAGATTCGTAGTAGTGAGTGGAAGTAGGCGGGTGCTGAGCCTGTGGCTGTTCTATATGCAAGCATCAATGTCTTGAACTTGATGTGAGCCGCAACCGGTAGCCAGTGCACGGAGATAAAGAGAGGTGTAACATGGGCTCTTTTGGGCTCGTTGAAGACCAGTCGTGGCGCTGCATTCTGAATCATTTGTAGAGGTTTGATTGTGCTTGATGGAAGTCCAGCCAGAAGAGCATTGCAGTAGTCCAGCCTAGAAATGACAAGGGCCTGGACAAGAAGTTGTACAGCATGCTCCTTTAGAAAGGGCCTGATCTTTCTGATGTTGTGCAATGCAAACCTACAAGATCGAGCAGTCTTTGCAATGTGGTCTTTGAAGGTCAGCTGGTCATCAAAGATTACACCAAGATTTCTGACAGAAGTTGAGGGGGTAGTTGTAGAAGAACCTAGTTGGATGGTGAAATCATGCTGTAGAGTTGGAGTGGCAGGGAAGACAAGAAGCTCAGTCTTTGCCAGGTTGAGCTGTAGGTGATGTTCTTTCATCCATGCCGAGATGTCCGCCAGGCAGCCTGAGATCCGTGCAGCTACCGTTGGATCATCTGGTTGAAATGAGAGATAGAGCTGTGTGTCATCAGCATAGCAATGGTAGGAGAAGCCATGTGCCTGTATGATGGGACCCAGTGATGTAGTGTATATGTAGAAGAGGAGGGGTCAAAGAACTGATCCTTGTGGAACCCCAGTGACCAGTTGATGTGCTTTGGATAACCCCCCCCCCCAGGACACCCTGAAAGACCTACCAGTGAGATAGGATTCAAACCAGCGAAGTGGAATCCCTGTGATGCCCAGTGATGAGAGTGCAGACAGGAGGATCTGGTGATTGACAGTGTCAAAAGCAGCAGAAAGATCCAGAAGAATAAGGACTGATGATTTGGAATCAGCTTTTGCAATCCGCAAGGCTTCCGTGACTGACAGTAGCGCAGTCTCAGTTGAATGGCCAATCCTGAAACTTGATTGGTTAGTGTCTAGTTTGTTGTTCTGTGAAAGAAACAATACCTGGTTGAAAACAACTATTTTGAGGGTTTTTGCTATGAATGGAAGGAGAGAGACAGGTCTGTAGCTATCTGTAAGTGAAGTGTTTAATGTAGGTTTTTTGAGTAGTGGGGTTACCCGAGCCTGCTTGAATAAAGTGGGGAAAGTGCCTGTGAGGAGTGATGTGTTGATGATATGTGTGAGTGCTGGTAAGAGTGTAGGAGAGACTGCTTGGAGAAGGTGTGAGGGGATTGGGTCTAGAGGGCATGTTGTAGGATGGCTGGAGAGGAGAAGTTTTGATACTTCTGCCTCAGTGAGGGGACAGAAGGTGAAGCTGGGAGTTTTAGCGGTGGGTGTGGTTGGTTTGAAGTCCTGTGTGTGTGGGGCTGAGAATTGACTACTGATTGTTCTAGTTTTGTCTGTAAAGAATGTGACGAAATCATCAGCTGTTATAGAAGTGGTGGGAGGGGGACAGAGGAGAGAACTGAATGTTTTGAAGAGATTACGTGTGTCTGGAGTGCTGTTGATCTTGTTGTGGAAGTATGAAGATTTGGCAGTATGG